ATGGGAGTATCTCTAGCAATGGTGTCATTAGCACAATGCCTGGCCCAAAGGAGGCGCAAATACATACAGTTGATTAAATTCATAAATTGTCTCATCCACCCTTTCAACAAATTGTATATTGAGCAGTATTCACGGGTGTAGATGCTCTTAAGTGGGTAGATGTAGGTGCACAGTTTTGTGGAATTCCATATCTACCAGACACAGAAAAGTATACAAACCATCTACTCAACGTTTATCTTAAGCATGTACATATGTACATCAAACTGGGTGTGTTCTGCTACCTCTCTCCGACCTCTTGTTTCTAAGCACTGTGTGTGGACTAGGTCACGTCTCTTTTGTTCAGGCAGGAACTCTCTCATTCTTTCTTTGCTTCTGCATTTATTGTTTATTGACCACTTCAGTCCGAAGTTCGGATTCTGCCACCTTCATCTCAGTCATCACCCTTACTGACTTCTCCGAAGTGTTTGACTCTTCCTTCCCAAACGCTCATCTTCCCTGGCTTCTGTGGCATCTCACTCCTCTGGTCTTTCTACTCTCATCACACTCTGATCCTCTTCCTCGACTCCTCCTTTAAATATAGTCGCTTCTCAAGGTTCTGCCCTCATCCCCTCTTGCTGTCCTTGAGAATCTCATTTACTCTTATCATCTCTTATCCTTAGGTAAAGGGCTTCCAGCTTTCTACCTCTTTGCTAAGATCTCCTGCTAGATGGTCATCTTCTCTTCGGAGCGCAATCAATCCCAAATCAAGCACACTACTGTCTTTCTTTTACCTGCCCTGCTCTACCTCCTAGGTCTCCTAGCCTTAAAAACCAGTCTTCAAAGATGAGGTTAGAGAGTCATTCTCAACTTCTCATCCTTCCCGGCTCTGAACTCTCCCCACCCCACACATACACATCAAACCAAGTCCTGCTGACTCGACCTTCCCAAATCTTTGTACCTTGCTCTTTCTTTTCAAGTGTGTTGCTTTACTTTGGCTCTCATTCTCTCTCACCTAGGGACTTACAATGACCTTGATGGGCTTCACTTTCTTCCAATACCTTTCCACTCGGTATCTTCTCAAAACACAGATCTGGTGATCAAAATGATTTGACCAAGCCTCCTTTATTTAAAGTTTTTCACCATGTTGCCCCAGTGTACCCCTTAAATTATCTCCTCCATTCTGTCCTCTTAGGACACTTGGCTTTCTGCTCCAGTCTCCTTAGAAAGAGCACTTCTAGACTCTGCGCCTTGGCTGAGGCTGTTCCTCAGCCTTGAATTCTCCTTTCCTGTAAATGCCACCTGTCAGCACCCACAGGTATCCTTCAACATGCAGGTCCGCTGGAGCCTCCTCTGAAAGGGCGTCTCTGATTCCTCAGGTGGGCCGAGTCTCTGCTCTCCCCTGCGTTTTTACGGTCTCCTTTGAGTCCTCAGCTCCCTCTCCATGCATTAGAGTCACTTGTGTGTTTCTCCTCTTCTGGATCCCCTGAGACAGGACAAGGATGTCTGGGTCATCTTTATCTCCTGCAGCACGCAGTGGGCTGCGATGATTGTTTGCTGAATTGACCTGATTTTGTTGAACCGGTCCAGGGTTTTATGTAGCAGGGACATGTGATTGTGAACGTCTACAGAGACCGGATCCTAAGCATAGCAGCCATTCCCCGAGGGGTCAGCCGGGTCAGCCTCGTCAAGACCTCAGGAGATAGGCCTGCAGGAAGAGAACCAGCTAGGGGTGGGGAAGGACAATTCCCTAGAAGTCGGTGGCAGTCCTGTTCTCCGTCCCTCTGCATCCTGTCCCCTCCCAAGGAGGCGCTATTTGAGATCCCTTGTCCCCGTCATTACTGCGCTTGCCGCGTGTTTCCCAGCGGTGGCTTCCTTTGGCCTTTTCCAGCTCCCACTGTTTGTTTAGTTCTCTGCCAGCCTCTTTCTCTGGCTGTGCTCGTGAACAGAGCCAAAGACTGTCCTCTGTGGGGCCTGTGCAGTGAACCCGCCGCACGTGGGTGGAAGGTCCAGGAGACTCTAGAATCCCAAACGGAGGGTTCCCCTCAGGCTCAGAAGCTGCTCCAGGCATGGGCCCAAGTTCCAGACCATGCAAATGGAACTTTACCGACAGAAGCATCACATGACACAGTCTCTCCATCCCCTTCTGGGACTCCCCTCTTCCTCCCTCAACTCCCCTGATCACAGGTTGGGCAGAAGGCAGAGGGGGCTCTCAGGCAGCGTAGTGACACATCACTCAACATTGTATGCCTTACACGCTTTCATGCCTGATTTTGTTCTCCTGTTTGAGAAAGTTGGAGCTGTGCTTGGCCTAAGTTACCTGCCCCTTCCAAATTCCTGAGCCAGAGTGGCCTTGCCTGTTGGCGGGGCAGAGAGGCAGCCCTGAGGGCAGGCCAGGAGGATGGGGAGGAGAGGCAGCCCTGAGGGCAGGCCAGGAGGATGGGGAGGAGAGGCAGCCCTGAGGGCAGGCCAGGAGGATGGGGAGGAGAGGCAGCCCTGAGGGCAGGCCAGGAGGATGGGGAGGAGAGGCAGCCCTGAGGGCAGGCCAGGAGGATGGGGAGGAGAGGCAGCCCTGAGGGCAGGCCAGGAGGATGGGGAGGAGAGGCAGCCCTGAGGGCAGGCCAGGAGGCTGGGGAGGAGAGGCAGCCCTGAGGCAGCCAGGAGGATGGGGAGGAGAGGCAGCCCTGAGGGCAGGCCAGGAGGATGGGGAGGAGAGGCAGCCCTGAGGGCAGGCCAGGAGGATGGGGCGGAGAGGCAGCCCTGAGGGCAGGCCAGGAGGATGGGGAGGAGATGGCAGCCCTGAGGGCAGGCCAGGAGGATGGGGGAGGAGAGGCAGCCCTGAGGGCAGGCCAGGAGGCCGGGGAGGAGAGGCAGCCCTGAGGGCAGGCCAGGAGGATGGGGAGGAGAGGCAGCCCTGAGGGCAGGCCAGGAGGATGGGGAGGAGAGGCAGCCCTGAGGGCAGGCCAGGAGGATGGGGAGGAGAGGCAGCCCTGAGGGCAGGCCAGGAGGATGGGGAGGAGAGGCAGCCCTGAAGGCAGGCCAGGAGGATGGGGAGGGGAGGCAGCCCTGACGGCAGGCCAGGAGGATGGGGAGGAGAGGCAGCCCTGAAGGCAGGCCAGGAGGATGGGGAGGAGAGGCAGCCCTGAAGGCAGGCCAGGAGGATGGGGAGGAGAGGCAGCCCTGAAGGCAGGCCAGGAGGATGGGGAGGAGAGGCAGCCCTGAGGGCAGGCCAGGAGGATGGGGAGGAGAGGCAGCCTGAGGGCAGGCCAGGAGGATGGGGAGGAGAGGCAGCCCTGAGGCAGGCCCGGAGATGGGGAGGAGAGGCAGCCCTGAAGGGAGGGAGGAGATGCAGCCCTGAGGCAGGCCAGGAGGATGGGGAGGAGAGGCAGCCCTGAGGCAGGCCAGGAGGATGGGGAGGAGAGGCAGCCCTGAGGGCAGGCCAGGAGGATGGGGAGGAGAGGCAGCCTGAGGCAGGCCAGGAGGATGGGAGGAGAGGCAGCCCTGAGGGCAGGCCAGGAGGATGGGGAGGAGAGGCAGCCCTGAGGGCAGGCCAGGAGGATGGGGAGGAGAGGCAGCCCTGACGGCAGGCCAGGAGGATGGGGAGGAGAGGCAGCCCTGAGGGCAGGCCAGGAGGATGGGGAGGAGAGGCAGCCCTGAGGGCAGGCCAGGAGGATGGGGAGGAGAGGCAGCCTGAGGGCAGGCCAGGAGGATGGGAGGAGAGGCAGCCCTGAGGGCAGGCCAGGAGGATGGGGAGGAGAGGCAGCCAGGAGGATGGGGAGGAGAGGCAGCCCTGAAGGCAGGCCAGGAGGATGGGGAGGAGAGGCAGCCCTGAGGGCAGGCCAGGAGGATGGGGAGGGGAGGCAGCCCTGAGGGCAGGCCAGGAGGATGGGGAGGAGAGGCAGCCCTGAGGGCAGGCCAGGAGGATGCGGCTTTGCTCCTTCCCTGCACCACCTCGCCCAGCAGAGGCTTCCAACCGGGGCTGCGTTTGAGCCAAACGGGTCGTCCTCGCTCCCTGATGCCCGTTCCCTGCTTCCCCTCCTCCCCACCGTGCAACCCAGGGAATCTCCCCCCCCCCACCCCGCCCCACCGCCACCCCCTGCCACCCCTCTGCACTCTGCCTCCCTTGAATTCTCCAGAGTGGCTGTCTCCGCGTCCCCTTGGCGGCAGCTGCCAACGAGGGAGCTGTCAGCGGAGAGCCACACAGGCAGTGCCATCCTGCTGGAGCCCGGGGTCCTCCCCCGACTCTGCCAGGCAGTGCGAATCATCTGTCACCGTGCCCCCTCCCCTCCCTCCGCCTCCCCACCCCCCTCCCCTGCTGCTCACTCTTTCCCTGCTCAGGAGATCCACAGCCTGAGAAGAGCCGGCGAGCGGTGGGCTGAAGCCACTCTGCTAGGGGTGCCAGGTGACTGGCCTCCCCTCACAGCCTCTCCCTGCCAGAGGTGACTGACTGGCACTCAGGGCTGCACCGAGCCATGCCCCGCTGGGGCCCACGCCAGCCACACCTTCCCAGCTGCACTGCCCACCGCCAGACAGGTAAGAGGGGCAGCTCCCTCCAGCAGGGCCAGAGAGGGCTGACCTGGCCATCCCGAGCCATGAGTCCTGCGGGGAGGTGCAGACACCTGGCAGAAGAGGCCCTGTCCTTCTGCCATGACCCTTGTTTATCCTCTGACCGAGCTCCTCAGAGCGGAGAAGCCCATTGCCTTTGCCAGGAGCAGGGGTGCAGGAATGCGCCCGTTCTTCCCTGTTATGGGGGCTGAGCTGCCAGGGTCCATTTTATTCTCCCTCCTCTGTGATCCCAACTCCCCAGGTGCCCGAACCTGCTTTCTAGCCCAAAGGGATGCTGTTTCTTCCCTCAGGGGGTTCTGAAAATATCGGCACTGGCTATGTGGACTATGACTCTGTCTTTTTTAGTTTCATCCGTGTCCTTTTCTGCTGTTAAGTGGGTCGCCTGCACGGCAGTTTGACCTCGCATCTGTTTGGTTTCCCGTCCTCGTGCAGGTCCCCGGCGTCGCTGGTGACTAAACTGGCGACCCATTCCGATGCACAAGGACTCACCACCACGATGAGCTGGAGGGAGGTTAAAGTATTGGATGCCACCAGTTTCCTTCTTTCACCTTTATTGAGGTGTAAGTGACAAAGAAAATTGTAATATGTTTAAAGTGTGTGACCTGATGGTTAAATATATGTAGGCATTGCGAAGGGACTCCCACCATCAAATTAATTAACGCATCCATTGGCAGGTCACCAATTCTTTACAAAAAATGTTTTCCCCCAATTTGTATGATTACATACAAGGCTGATATAACATCATAGTTAACATTTTGCTCCCATTCTGGATTAATTTCTTAGACATATTTTTAGAACTAGACTTGCCGGGGACCAGGATCTTTTTAAATGGATACAACTGACATGTAACATTATGTTAGTTTCAAGTGTACAACAGAATGATGTGATAGATTGCAAAATGGTCACCACAGTAAGTCTAGTTAGCATCCATCACCAAACATAGCTAGAAACCTTTGGGGGGAGGGGCAAGGTCACCAATTTCTAAGCAGTGAGTTGAGGGCACAGTTGCGGCCCACAGTTGAGTCCCTGGCATCAGCCAAATTGGTTTTTCCCCGAGGTGTCTAGGTAGAGACTTCTGGGGGTGCAGGGGAGATGGGCAGCTTTTATCTTTCTGTGTTTGAACCACTTAATATCATCCATTGTGTTTTACCATGTGCTGAAAACCTGGCTGTGGGGTCCTCGTAGCTTCTGATCTTGGGATGCTTTCGATCTCGGGAAATGAGAAAGAACTTGGATTATTTGTTTCTACAGAATTGGAAAACTTCAGGGTTTCCTGGGAAGACGGAGGAGGTGCTGGGAAGTGGAGGGGTGACGTAACTGTTACCGTGAGATCAGACGCATGCTTGGGAAAAGTTCAAAGCGTTCGACACGCAGCATGGCGCTGGGCTGCTGTGGCTGCTGTCAGGACTTGGGGAATGATGGCTCCATGAGTGTTCAGGCGACCTGGCAAGCGCGTTTTCGTTAACTGTTTGCGGTCTGCTCCATGGCTAGAGCAGGTGTCCTGGAAGAAGGCTGCTGGGCGGGGGAGTGGGGATTCGAGAGTCTAGTGTGGTCGGTAGCCCACCACGGCCAGGCGAGCTTAAGCCGCTCCTGGTGCCGGGACCTGTTGGCATTAAAAAGAAAAGAAAGGAAAATGGTTCCACACAGTGCCTCACACATAAAGGAATCTGAAAACTTCATCACAGTTCTGGCCCGTTGAATAAAATCTGCTCATGAAACCAAGGTCTTTCTCCCGTGGGTGAGTGCCCTTGGACCTGGAGAAGCGTGTTCCTTAGCCTCAATGCCATGTCGCAGGTGCCAGGGACTCCCGGGGGACTGGTGAGAGTGTGGATGGCTGGCTGAGCAAAACCCATCGTCTTCCCATTAATAAACCCTCCAAACGTGGGTCTCAGTGATGAGTCAGCAGCAGCAAATGGAAACACTGAGATGCTGTCTAGTGTGGAAAAAGCCCCGCTGGTCCTGGGTTCCAGTCTCTGGAGGGCCATTAACTGAATAATCCTGGGCCCTCCACTCAGGACTTCTGAACAACTTTGGTTGTGTCATCTGTAAAATGGGCACACTGCAAGTGCCCAGCTCGCCTCCAGAGGTTTCTGGGCGGGTCGGTGAAAAGGAATGATGATAGCTCCCTGTTATCCGGATGCGCCGGGCAGCATCGCTAGAAACTCGTCCTCCATTGCGCTGCTCAATGCTCCCAGCTTCCCAGAACCAACTGAGGCCCAGAGAGGCTAAAATACCTGATCAAGCTCAGCTCGAGAAATGTAAAAGTTGCCCTGGCCAGTTTGGCTCAGCGGTTAGAGCGTCAGCCTGCGGTCCGGAGAGACCTGGGTTCGGTTCCCGCTAAGGGCACGTACTTCGGTTGCAGTTTGTCCACGGCCCTGGTTGGTCGTGCGGTGGCAGCCACTCGATGTGTCCCTTTCACATCGATGTTTCTCTCTCTCTCTCTCCCTTCCTCTCTCTCCCTCCCACTCTATCTGTACAAAAAATGGAAAAATATCCTCGGGTGAGGATAAAAAAAAAAAAGAAATGTAAAAGTTGTGACTGTGCTATACAAATGTCGGTTTTGCTGCGTATAGTGACTTCAGGGCTTAGAACTTTTGTTCTGTTCGATCACAGACTCTCTGTTTAGTGCCTTCTCATATCTTTTTTGTCCAAACACCTCCATCTCCAGAGACGCAAACAACGCCCCTTGCTTCCCCCTCTATGCTTTGGGGATTAGGACCTTTTTCACTGTCCGAGAAGCATCAGCATTCTCATCAGGACCTTTATGACTTTGCTCTGTGTGGGATTTCCAGAAAGCTTTTGGATTTTGCAATGAAAGTTTCTAGAAAGAAGAGGGTCTCCGAAAAGATGAAAGTGGCTTAAGGTAGATTCCTACCAGGGCTTTGTCTCTCAAGGAAAAGTGTCAGAATGTGCTCAGCACCGTTGTGCATCAGAGTGCGCCCACACAGCCCTGTCCCTCCTCCCGCCCCCACTGCAGGCATTGATGTGCACAGCATAGCACAGGAGCGAGGCCTCTCCTTTCCTGGGGGGCCGCGTGATGGTAGGAGCAGCGCCCCGTGGGAGAGCTGTCGCCTGGCCAGGTCTTCACGCCACCGTTTCCTGGCGCTGTTGCTGCAGCCGGGCCCATCCCTGGGTCTGATAGCCGGGGAGCTTGCTCTTCGCACGACTCTAGGTGGCTGGCTAGAATGGAGCAGGGAGGGAGGACATGAAAGCCACTGGCTGAAGTCATTAAAAATGGAGGATTAGAAAGAGCTTATTTTATATTCAGAGGAGGGAGAGAAAGCCGAAGCTGCTTTCTGCCCACAGCTGTAGACCCTGATGGCAAATGATAAAGCTTTTGTTACCGCCCACAAAGGGGGGACACTGGGAGCCAGCGCCCTGGCACGGTGAGCTAGGAGGAGAGAGCCCCACTTCCACTGGCTAGCGCTGCGCTTACGTCTGAGCCCAGGGCTTTGGACACGACGTCCCCTGCTTCTCCACCTCTGACCCGCCGCCCCTTCCTCTTCCGCCTCTCGCCCCACCCGCATTTGGGTGGGGCCTCTGCCTCCTGTGACTCTGATACTATCACTGTGACTTCATGTTTTTATAAGGCTGAATAATTTATAACCCATGTTGGCTCATATATCTCAATGAATTTTTACAGTAATTAAGAAGTTGGCACGGCCTTAGTAATTATGATTTCAGAGCTAGGAAAGCAAGGTCTTAAACCAAGACGACCCAGCCATAAGGGACAGAGTTGGAGCTTGAACCCTTGTCACCTGACCGTGGCGCCTGTGCTGTTTCTACAGCTCCACACCGCCTCTTCTGGTCAGCGCCCTGCTCCGGACACGGCCTCTCCTACCAGCTGCCTGGTTCAGTTACACTCAACAAACATAGTCACACTTGCGGCTTAAACAGGTGATTATGGCTGCAGGATGGAGTTGAATTTAAGGAGACAGGCTGGATCACACTGACTAAAGACCACAAAGGTATGAACCAGGGACCCAGTGACAGTGAAAAAGGAGAGGAGAAGATACATGTGAAAACCATGAAGGACACTTAATAGGATTTGGTAATTGGTTGACTATGGGAGATGAGAGAAAAGAAGTCATCTGTAATTACTTTCCTATTTCTTGTGACTTGAGTTACTCAGTGGATGGGGGTGCCCCAGAAACTGGGACTAGGAATTCTAGAGGAAGCCAAGATTTGTGTGTGTGTGTGTGTGTGTGTGAAGGGGGGTGAATAAAATGGGTCCAGGAAAGAAGATGATGTGAGGTAGTCATTTCTTAGATAGATGGCATTTTGTTGCACCTGTGGGATTTCTGCGGGGCGTCTTCAGCCACCCGTGGGCTATGAGAATCTGTATGATTGGGAGAGGTGCCAGAATTAGAGGAAAATATTTAGAAGTGGTCCGTATACTCAGTGTAGTTAGGACTATGGGCAAGAATAAGATTACCCAAGGAGCATTTAAGGAGAGAAGAGCAAGAAACCACAGTTAGGGTCCGGAGAACACCATCATTTATGGGGTTGGGCAGAGGAGGAGGAGCCAGCAAAGGAAATTGAGGGGGAGGGCAATCAGGACCATGTGAGGCCAAGACAGTCAAGGGAACAGAAATGCCAGAAGCGAATGGTCACCGTAGAAATGCAGCAGAGAGATCCGTGAGGACAAGAACCATTGGGCCATTGGACCTCACGCTATGCAGGTCACTGTGTCAGGGGTGTGGGAGGGATGGAAGCCAAATTGTGAAGGACTGAGGAGGAGATAGGAAGAGGGAATCAGAGGTTCCTTCAGGCAACTTGGCTGACAAAGGAGGATGCCCAAGGGAATTTTTTAAATGAAATTTCTCTTTATTTGTAAGTATCGAATAACATGGGAGAAGAGAATGAATACAGAGGCAGGAGTTGAAAAGGCAGAGGAGGTGGGAGAGCATGGATCCAAGGCCACAGGAGGAAGGGATGACCTTGAGCAGACACATCTGAGCAGAAAGGAAGGATGTGAATGAATGTGGCTGGGCTTGTAGGGGAAAACATGGGGAAAGAGGTTGAGGTATTTCATGCCCGAGGCCTCGGCTATCTTGATGAACCAGATTAGGCTAAGGGTGTGGGGAGGATTCTGTGTGTCGCACGAGCCCTGTCTTTCTCTACACTCTGGCTTCCTGCCCATCGGCTGCCCATCGGCTGCCTTCACAGAAGCCAGCTGGCCACTGGGTCGCTACTTTGTAAAAACGGAGTTCACTGCTTAAGGCTGAGGTTGCAATAGGGAAGAAGAGGGTCACGCGGGTAAGCGAACAGGTCATCATTTGTCTTCACAGGGTTGCCTATGGCCCTGGATTCCGGGCGTGTGGACCGGCAGCTCCTCCCTGGGAAGAAAGGATGTCGCTGGATTCCGCCCAGGAGCTCTGCTCTGCATCCTGGCTGTGCCTTGATGAAATGTGACCTTGGGGAAAGCCTTTGAAGTTTCCTTTCTGCAAATGATAGCTAAGAGTCAGACCCACGCTGACACTCTAGAATTTTGGCATCTGCTCCCTTGGAGTCAAATAATACGTGACACCATTTGATTTTAGGAGATCTAAGGAACAGA